GAGAATTAAATATTTAAATCAGTATTACTCACAGGAGTCCTCTATTCTAATACTTATGTAGACAACCAGTAAAATTATGTTTGATAATTATATTATTGTTTCAATCTTCTATTATTGTTTTGATCTGAAAGCAAGAATTGGTAATAAATTAGACCCAATTATCTAGAGAGTCTCTGATTACAATATAGTTTTGGTAAATTAAAGATAACTATCAGGATTTCTTCAGTTTGTCAGACTTAGATGTCTGAAAAAGCTTACAATGGAGAGGAACTTTGCATGCTTAAGCATGAAAAACATACATTTTAAAAAATCTAGCATTTATTATAGCATGTATAATTGCCCTAGCACGCAATCTAGGATTTTGCCCTTTGGGGTGTCTATTTATCTATTTATAAAATGTTATAATTGCATTACCCCACTTACAAATTCATCATGGAAAAAGGTGCTGTCATTTTATGGAATTGTTCCTTAGATATCATGAAAACATCTCATTAGGAGTATTTCATTAAACATGCTACATAAAGACATTAATTTGATGTTCAAACATTTCCACTTTACCAGAAATTTTAATACTGGGAGGCTGATAATTTTCCAAGCTAGTGTCAAAATTCAGCAGAAAGGAGAAAATGTTTCTGAGAATTTTTCAGGGCTTTTTTCTTTCGCATTATGTCAATGCAAATTTTTTTTAATATAAATTAAGAGCTGATGGATATTTAGACATCAAAAAAGCTGCTTGAAATACTGAACACTGTATTATTAAAGCTCACAGGCTGAGGTTAGCTGACAGGAAAAATAATCATAAAACATAACCTTTTATTTCATCAGACAAAGTTATGCCTGCCCAAGATCTGAAGCTCAACATCCATAAAATGGTTTCACACAAGTGACATCTGATTCTAAACATCTGTCTGAAAGGAAAATAAATGGGATTTAATCTGCCATAAAATGAATTGCACAATTTATTTTTCTTGAGGAAGTCATGCCTTTGTGACATTGGCGAGCTGTAACAGTTTTGCTCTTATAAAAACACTTCCTTCTATGCCAAACCCATATTAATTCAACCATGTCTATTTTTCCTCCAAAGAAAAAATCAGATCAATTTATCTAACAGCTGATGCCTTTATCTGTGCAAGTGTTGTTTTAGACATGAGCCCAGGACAAATTTTCCAGCTGGAGATAGGTAGATTTTAAGTCATTTGTTTCCTAAGGATGAAATATGAAATTTCAAATATGAAATTGTCAATGCCAGCCACTGATGGCCTACAAAAATTAGTATTTAATATGCTTCAAACTACCTAAACAGAGTAAATAAAGTACAAAAATCCCCAAATGGTAACTAGAAAAGTGATAATTTGATGAGACTTATCATCTCTTCAAAATGAAATGTTTGAAAATCAATTTACAAATCATTCACAAGGCAAATGTAAGCATGGAGACCATTCTAACTCCCGAAAGATTTTTCCATACAGGCATTTTATTGACATTATTATAATGGTTTACTGTGTTCATTAATTTAAGTATAAAATGCTTTATTAAGTGACAAAGGAAAGAAAGCAACAAGAAATTTCAATTATAGAATTTGTTATGATCTAACATATAGTTCAATATATGCTGGACGATGAAGCTTAAGGTACACCTTTTCTTGTGCCATCTCATTATGTCACATATGAGGTGTGATGGAAAGGTGTCCAACGACATTTGACAGCAGCATTCCTCAGATTTTTTTTATCAGACCTTTCTAAGAACAAAATGGATGATTGCAGAACAGCTTCAGAATAGAAGCACCACTCTGTGCCATCTAAGTATATATTACTGTTAATTGTAAACTTAAAATCAAACTTTAAAAAACAAGGTGTCAAAAGCAATGGCATTAGTGTGTTCCAAGTGGGGGACTATCTGCTGAGAATTAATGACCTTGTGTCTTTCACTACAGCAATTAAAAAAATGTGAACAGCATGTTTTTCAGGCATTTCCCAAACACTTGAGCTTATGTTTTAAGTCACCTAGATGAAGCCAGTTTCAGTTAATACATTCTTTGAAATGCTAGAGTATTTTTAGCAATTTTTAAGACTAAAAGTATAATTTTGCTGAGTTTACACATCTATAATATTCAAATAACGGAACTTAGCAAAAAAAAAAAGAGTATACAGATGAATGTCTATTTTGTATCTGTGTATTCAAAGTGCTTAGGATAGATATATAGTTACATTCTCTTAATGAATAGAATGATTTGCTCTAATGTCGTTTGTAAATAGGATCTCAGGTCCGCATCTTGTACAGCAATTAACCACTAAGAAGAATGTATGCAGTGTTTTAATTATTGAAAATGTCCTAGCGATTTGATTTGAAACTGTCTCATGGCTATTTGTTTATCAATAAAATTATGAAAAAAAGACTAAAACTATAAAAAAGTGTATCTATATAGATGCATCTCCAAATTGGCAAATTAAATATGAACCCTAAAATAACTAAAACTGGAAATAATGTTAACTAATTGAGATAATTATTAGTTTCTCTAGAAATCAGTAGAATATAATATGTAATAATCTTTTCCAGTTTCTTACTACTAATAAGAAGTCCTAAAGGCAAGTCAGTATCATAAAAGCCAGTCCATAAAAAAATTAAGAAAATGTGTATGTTTATGGTGTGTCAGATCTTTTTCAAATCTGCAAAATGAGCACCTCTTTTGAAATAAGTTTTACTGAATCGAATAAAACTATGTAATTTTATCGTGAGGATTTCAGTATATACGTAATTTTGGAAACTTTCCTGAAAATATGATTATTTGCATTTGCACTTTAATTTTTTATATTCATTTATTTATTTTATATTTTAGGGAAGGGTCTACAGGGTGTTCAGGGTCTCACTACTGGATATGACTCATAGTGATCCACCTGTTTACAGCCTCCCAAAAGCAGGGATTACAGGTGCGCACCATCACTCCCAGTCTCAATTGCCATCTCAGCATGCCCCGAGGGTGGGGCTGGCAGGATTGAACCTCTGGCCCCTGCACCTGCTTGCAGGCACTTTAATCTGCTGAGCTATTTGGCCAGCTCTTGCATTTGCACTTTTGAAGAAAAAGGAAACAATAAAATGCTACTGTAAATATGGAAGCAGTGTGGAGGCTCAGCAAGGATATATATAACTCATGACTTTTGTCAAACACATCTTGTTTATGTAGACACTTGCATCATGTGAGTCTGGAGTTTTTAATTTTAAAGCAAGAGTAACTTCAAACGTGTTTGTGTTCTACCTCAGATCCTATGAAAATCAGATTCTGCAACTGATAGATAAGATCATATTTTATACACCCTAAAGATCTTTTTGTAAATGTCAAATTTTTATTCCTGAGTAATGTAGGATCATTTTCTTATAGAAGACTACAGTGCATACTTCTGTTTCATATTTATATTTAGAGCTCCAGAACCATGGCATTCAATGTCCCAGGTTCCCTTACAACTACCAAGGCGGACTACTGTAAGAACTGTACTGTGAAAACCATCTATAAAGCTCACTAATATGGAACACAATCTATGAACTTCAGAACTCTATATCTTTCTTGAACTTCTTTGGTAGATAAAGTTTAGTTTCTAAAACCAAAGGCTCAAGTTGTGTACTGTAACATTTTTCATAGTTTCTGCTACTTACTAGTATTGAGTTTGATACTGTATTCAGATTTCAAAATACAGTGAGTCTTACCATTTAAGTATGACTCTTAAATCTAAATGATTCCAAGAATGACTAGCTCTCAATAACTCTGAAGCAGAAAAATTGTATGTTTCATGGCTTAGCCAAATAGCTGATGGAATACAGACACTAAAACATTTTGGTTGACTGCCATATATGAATCATTATTTGCACTTCAGTTTTTGTATTTCATAATATAAAATAGAAATGCACTGCAACTCTGCATCATTCATAACCTTTCCAGCTAATGATATCTTTCAACTTTGAGGAGGTGTAAAGCTTGTGCTCACTGATTTGTCTGCTTGTGCAGACTTTCCTTAAGCCATACTTGCAGACTATTTGTATAAAATAGAAATTGAAATTTTAGGGTTATCGTTATCACTTGTGAAATCATTAAAAATGCCCCTACTGTGTTAAAGATTTAGAAATACTTTCAATCATGCTAATTGTGCAGAATTTTTAATGGTGCTGTCCATCTTCATGTGTTGTTTTTGTTTGTTTGTTTGTTTGTTTGCTTGTACCAGGTATCAAACTTAGATCCTTGCACTTGCCAGGCAGGCACTTATGCCGCTGGGCTATCACCCTGGCTTCATAAATACTATAGATAGATATATAGATAGATAGATAGAGATAAAGATATAGAATATTATTGATTGATTACAAAGGAAAGTCAATGTGCCAAATGTTTAAAATATTATTCATTTAACAAGGAAAGAAATGGCAGGGAAAAAGTAATTAGAGTAATCTGAAACTATCTATAAAATTTGTCCACCGGAAGATGAAGCAAAGTATGTCAAAGAAATGTAATAATAAATGTTAAACAATATAACATGGAAGTTAAACAACATAATTAAGCAATATGATTAAATAATTTAAGAAAGTAGAAAAGTGTCTTTTAGGATCTTATGTATGAAACAGAAGATTCTTTGAAGCTATTGTTTTATGTATTCACGTTATTACTGGAAGTGCAAGTCAAACTTTGAAGTACATAATAGTGCTTTATATTTTAATCTGTGCAAAATCAGACATTGAAATGAAAGTTGTGATTTATCTAAATGAGCTCTGAGGGACCAGGGAGATAGCTCAGTGGAATAAGTACTTGCCTGGCAAGTGCAAGTTCCTGAGTTCAGTCCCTGGTATCACACACACACACACACACACACACACACACACACACACACACACGATGTGTGAGATCTCATATTGCCAAGGAGCTTGAAGGAGTCGCTGAGGTTGCTAGTCCACGGGTATCAGGCTACACAGCAAGAGCGGCTCAGTGTGTCTGTGTGTCTGTGTTTGTGCATACTTGGAGGCAGAGTGCCAGCTCTCTACCAAGAGAAGTGTGCCAGCAAGTCTCCTGTGACCAAGCTCTATGCCATTTGAGAAAAAAGTAAGTCAGATTTATTCAAAATTGCTGGCATTGCTATTTTTAGAGGATAGTTCAAATCTCTTTTTCTCCCTCCAACTGGTGTATAAACAGTAATTCATTTTTGGGAGGCTCAAAGGCCCAGCAACTTTCCTGTTTAATTAATTTATTAATTTAAAATCAGCAGCAGGCATGGCTAGTGTGGGTCTGTGCGTTTGTGTTTGTGCGTGAACTTGGGGACAAAGTGGAACTGGCACGCATGCTCGACACCGATATAACAGTGCCAGCGGCTCTGGGGCGATGCTCCACCGTTTGGACCGGAATTCATCTAAGCATATCAAGTGTAGAGCACTGTGAGGTTCCGAGGTCCCCTAGCTCTGAGGTTAAGCCTCAGTTTATTTTGCACATTTCAGCAGTTTCCACGTGGATGCAGTTAAGGGTGCCTGGAATTTGGAGATAAGCCTGGGATTAGTCCTGCTTTAAAGCCATCACGAGACCTTGTTATAGTCTGGGCCTCGAGTTAAGTTGTTAAATAGATTTCTGAGAGCCTCCTGGAGGGAAGAGTCACACTTTTGCTTCCTTCAGTTGAGTGTCAAAAGGCAAAGCTACAGCAGTGGCTGTCGCAGACTTTCCTGCAGGCTCATAGCTTCCTGTGCTTGTAGGTAGGGGGTTGGGGGTGGGGTTACATTCTAAGACTAAAACAATGTTCTGTGTAAGAAGCCTGCTTCATAAATATCTAAACTTACAACTTCTGGGTTAAGGTACTGGTTTTACAATTTCATAGAAGAACAATTTCACTCCTATTGAGGTAGATTTTAAGGAATTACTGGGCAATAATTCAAAATAATTCCACAACTATAAAATATTTTAGTGTTTTTTTCTTACCATAAAACAGCAAATTATCATACTTTTTAAATCTGTTGGAAGCAGAGATTCTTAGTAGTACAATGGCTGTTAATAAAATGGATAAAACATTGGCTTTCTTATTTGTGTTTCACTTTATTGACATGGAGACATAATATGTAAGGCAGAAATACTTTGAAGTGTTAACATTTTATTGATGTGGCTGAGGGATCCTGAAGAATATTTTGAGGACATGTAGTGCAAGCTATTAAGTCTCTTAGTGTACTAGATTGGGATTGTATTTCTGAGAATTAAAAAGTATAGAGCTTTAGTAATAATTTTCTAAAGAGAGCCAATAAATTTCCTATATCTTGCTGAATTTGAATTTGCTGAAACTATTGATTTGATTTTAAAGAGCTGATGAAAAGAACTTCTTGATTTACAAAATAATTTTTTTCTGGGATTACAAAAAAAATAAATTAATTAAAGCATTAACAGCACAGTTATAATAAAAATAGTATAAATGATTTCTCTGTTATAGAGGCCCTATATGCAACCGATGCTGTATGGCAGCTTCTTTCTCTTATATTAGTAAAAATAATCTTGCAAGAAATTGTACTAAGTGGGGCTGGGGAGATCACTCAGAGGCATAAGCACCTTTCTGGCAAGCTAAGAACCCAAGTTCAATCCCTGGGCCTGCATGCTGGGTGGTCTCGGCTCCAGATCCCTGGGCGCCCACTGTGCTGCCCTGGAACTGGACGTGGTGGCACATGCCTAAAATCCAAGCACTAGGGAGGTTGAGAAAGGAAGATCTCTACAAGCTTGAGACCAGCCTGGGGGCTATAAAAGTGAGCACAAGGCCAGGTCGAACTGCACAGTGAGACTGTCTCAAAAAATGAATGAATGAATGAATAAATAATATAAAACAACTGTACTAAGCACTCAAGACTACTTAGATAATGTAGACAAATAACATAATATTTTTGTCTGAATTCCTAGAAAATTTATCTAAATATTCCTAATGGCTTACTGGTCATCTTGACTTTTTTCACGGTAAGGTAGTTCTAGTTTTTCCACTACATAATGAATGATCATAATTAGTCCCCATATATTCTCTAAATAACTTAGTGTTTAGATAGATAGATACTTAGATGATAGAAGAGTTGGATAGATAGACAAATAGATAGATGGATAGATACACATACAGATGATGGCTAAGTTTCTATGAAGTAGATCTGGTAAAATTGCGAGGATTCCCTCAAAGTATGGAGACTGTTTATGTTAGATTAGGGGAGTATTTGGTGGTAGAAATCCACAACCAAAGCAATGACTCTCCTGTACCACACCATGCCCAGGATCGTTGTGCTAGCTCTTCACACTTTCCATGATTCAGAAAGCAGCAATGGTACTCCTTAGACTTGCTCAGGCCTTAATATTCACCAACTAATTTTTATCCAAAAGGCTTATAATCAAAACAAAAATGTACAAGTAGAGTCTTTCTTACTTTATACAGCTGTACAATTAAATGTCTTCACTTCTCTTTTCTGCAGTGCTGGGGATTAAACCAAAGGACTGGTGCATGCCAGGTAAGGGCTCAACAGCTAAACTAAATCCTCAGCCCCTGTCACACTTTTTTGTTCCCCTGAGCTGCTTGGGCTGGCCTGAGTGGCAAAACTTGTGATCCTTCTGCCTCAACCTCCCGAGTAGTTGGCATTGCAGGCATGTACCACAGAGTCTGTGTCTATAAAATGTTTCTTAAATCATGTATTTCTTTCAAAATATATTTTTGCATCTGATTGTAAAATAATATTTTAAACTTTATAGTTTATAAGACTACACTGAATAAAAGTTTTACCTAAGCATTAAAAATACTATCCTTAAAAATGTCCAGTAAAAAGTGAAAATTCCTTAACATTATATCAAATAATTCTTTATGTTTTCTATTACTTCACTCTGGGTGAGTGCGTTGACAATCAGTGTCCCTCCCTAGCTAACATTACAAGAAAGATGGTTCACGTAAGTTGGTACTGTACTAAAGATGATAGTCTTTTAATGTCAGTAAGATGCTGTCCTGCTTTGCAGACTTTCAGTTAAAAAGTGCCACTGAGAAATAGTCAATAAAAATTGTTCTCCAAACAACAGTTTTCCACTATCAAGCAATTCTTACTATTTTTTCCCACATCAAAATTCTGCTGTAATAAATAGTTTAGTCCAGCAAAGTTAATTATGGAAGACGTTATTGAAAGATGCACAACCTTGCTTATTCTGATACTAGCCACCATTTCCTTGCTGATCTGTAGTTCCAGATCATTATGACTCTGTCATTTAGATTATATAGATATAGATAGTATAGACATATGAGTATATAATAAATAAACACTATGATGGATAATTCTATTTACTTATATAGATATATAAAGACATCTATCTATCTATCTATCTATCTATCTATCTATCTATCTATCTATATGTTGAAAGGCAAATTTTAGGTTTGCTATCACTTTAAATGCCTATTTTTAACTCAGGTAATGACTTATTTTAAAAATATAACCTTACTTACAAGAAAATGTTATGACTGTACTATTTGAACTGGTTTTGAAAGTGTTTGAAAATTTCACTTGCACATTGTGGCATATGTTCTCAGGTGGCTTTGAATGCCTCTCTGCCTAAGTAATAGAGGGCAATTTTTTTTTTTTTTGAAATTCAACCAAAAGGATGAGTTTGTAATTTGTGTTCTAAAATAGAAATGTTAAATAATTTAAGTTTTGTCGTACATATTCCAACACCTGTCAGGCAACTGCTGAATTAGTGCTTTAAAAAAATCAGTAAATACTAGACCACCATAAAATGCCACTTAATATTATCACAATGACCAGTTTTTTACAAAAATTTTGAATAATATGATACATCATTAGAATGAAATTTTAAACATTTTGATTGGTCCATATGACCTCAATATATTCTAATTTTGTAGCACAAAAATAATATATAAACAAATAACTTTGTTTTCACTCTTTCTTACAGATGTTAAGTGAAGCTTCATATACACAATGAACTATGAGACAGAAAATTATATTGGCAAATAAATCAGTATCATTTGAAAGACTTTCTCTCTCTACTTGCATAAGTTGAGAAATTATTGTCCCTGAAGTATTAGTGAGCAATTTAGACCAAATGTGACTTATGAAGTCTTTTCTCTTAGAAAATTTTCCATAATTTTAATCTGTTGTTTTATAAACTAGTTTGGTTTTACTAGAAGAGTAAAATATTAAAAACTTGGTTAAAACTTCTACTAATCTGCTCTATGAGACTACATTATTGTTCAGATAAAGCATATCATGTCTCATTTTTTCAGGAATATATTTATGTGTATTTCTTATAATTTCTAGTATTCATGAAGTCACATAAGTACATCCTAGAAAACACATCATAGTGGTAATAGAAGAGTAGATATGCTTTTCATAAGTAGGAACAGACTTCAAATTTCTACTTTAATATGCCACCATCTATATGTCTTTACAAAATTGTACTTTTTGCAATGTGTCTTGTGAAGTCAAAAGTGGAATTTAAGACATTTTGCATAATCTACAACAGAATGGCAGTGCGAACTTCTTGTGGTTCCCCAAATTATACCAATAGCTTTTTACGAAATATCTTTTCCAGTTGTCAAACTTTTTCTCCAATCACAGTATAGATAACACTTCATAATCGTCTTTCAAATGGAATCAAAAACAAACTTTTACTCTGCCTTTTTAAAGGCCCTTCATGATTCTGTAGGTGATCACAGGTTCAGTTAAAGTTTTGTCAGTTGCATCTTACCTCTGTCACTGAAGTCATCTACTAGAATGATTTCTGCTATCAGACTCTCTGGGGTTCGGTTAATTATGCTGTGTATGGTTCTCAGGAGTGAGGTCCACCCTTCATTATGAAATGGGATGATGATGCTGGTGTTTGGCAGCCTTTCCAGGTACATCTTGTGCTTACAGCTGTAGATGATGGAAGAGGAAAAGAAGCTGTGTCAAGTAGAAAACCATAATGTAGCTCATCCTACGATGTATTGACTATGTTGTCAAACAATGGTGAAAACATGCCTCTATGTAGTACTTTTCCAAACAGATATTATAAATTATAATGGCTATTCTCATCATTCATATATTTTTAATGAGTTCCTTTACACTCATTCTTAATGAAATAATTAATTTATGCTCTTTGTATCAGGGGCCCAAATAAACCAAGATATTCAAATGTGCACTTGTTAATGAATCTTTTTTGTTGTTGTTGTTTTATGATACAGTTAAGGATAAGTGATATAATCTAAAATTGTTTTCACTGAGCATATAGTTAAAATTTATACGCATTTCCTGAAGAGTTTTGAAATTTAAGTGTTGCAATAATAATGCTTAATTAGTTTTGATTGTGAAGTGTTTCATTCACTGGCTCAGGGTTATAGATGAAAAGTTAATATTGAAGGGCCACTTTTGGAATACAAGCACATGGTGATATCACATTAATATTCAACTACAACATAATCATATTTCAAATGGACATTATAAAAGGAAATTTCAAGATATTTTTCTTTACAAAGTTATCTTAGATTGTAAACATGAATATTTTATCCTGCTGCTTTATGACTTATTTAATTTAAAAAGCACAGTGTTTAACAATCAAACAAGTAGATTTTGATATTTTCAAACATGAATAAAGAGTTAGAAAAACTATCAAGATGATACCATGATGTGGGCCTGCATATGCTGTAAAAATTATGAAATTCCTTTTTAGGATAACTTAAATAATATGAGCTAGAACTTTCAGTTATTTTCAAGAATATAGTGAGACAAATGGATTCACATATAATGAAAACACCTGAAAAATATTATCATTGCAATTCAGCACACTGATCATAATTATGCAGGAATGCTAATTCATCTAAACAAAGCAAAGACCTAAGATAATTGTGCTCACATATATCAGTATTCAGGATAATTGCACTTACTGCACAAACCATCATATCTCACAGTGTTCTGGGAACGAAAGTGATATTTCCAGGAAGACAAGTTATTTTTAAGCAGTAATACATAATATTGGACATAACAAGTGCTAGTTAATTAAATAAGAACTAAATTAAGAATAATATACATATAAAGTATGCTTATTTTTGTGAATGTGTTTATCAACTATATAAAACCTAGTCAGGAAAAGATCAGACATAAAAGGTTACAACACAAATCATATAGAATAAAGGCTGTGTCTCTTTAAAATGCTTTCAATAATTTCTATCTAGATGAGCTTACATTATCATCATTCATGAAATGTGAAAAGATTATTTCTATCTATGCATTAATTAATTAATTCACTCATTCATTCATCTATTCAAGTCACAGTGATTTCCTAAGGGTATGAAATAGTTCAGAATCCAAAGTGGAAACAGTCAGTCAAGTTTAACTTCAAGATATTGAAGACATTTACAACACAATGGGAAATACAGAGTGAGAAACAGTTTAATTTTAAAATAAAATGTGTAATGTTGAATTTTATTGGAGAGCTACATGGATATTTGAGAACCAATTTGGAAAGTGCGGCAGAAGTGTGAGAACTAAAGCTGACCTACGGAAGACAGGTTCAAGTTATATTTAGAAGCAAAACTGTCTGACTTACTTAGTGGGTCCTAATATAAGCGTCAACAGAGCTGACTAAATGTATTCACCCGTTTTTGCAAAATGAGAAGTTGTCAAGTTCTGCGAGAAATTCTTATCCTGGGAGCAGGAATTAACCCATATAAAAGGGGAGTAGAATATTCTTAAGGTGTGACAAATGAAGTGAGTTCTCTCTTGTCTCCCAGTTTCCCAGCAGGAGGCCTCAGTTACCTGCAATGAAAAGCAGCTGGACATTGTGTCTTTTCTTTGGCTAATTCTCTTTCAATCCTATTTCTTTACATTCCTCTTTGTATCCTGGTAGTTGTTGGAGTTGCTTCCCAGGAAAGGCATAAAAAAATTAAGTCAGTTTTATTCTTTCAGGACCTATTCCTACGGGAAACTTGATGTTAATCAAAACATAAAAAAATGATGTAGCCCATTTCATCAAGGCCGGCCTCGCTCTCGCTCGCGTTTTCTTTTTGTGGTCCTGGAAATTGAACTTAGGACCTTGTGCTTGCCAGGCAAGTTATTCTACTGAGCTATCTCCCTGGCCCTCCAGGGCATTTGTGTGTGTGTGTGTGTGTGTGTGTGTGTGTGTGTGTGTGTATTTTAGGGAAGAGTCTACAGGATGTTCAGGATCTCACTACTAGATCGGACTTGTAGTGATTCTCATGTTTGTAGCCTCCCAAGTGCTGGGATTACAGGTGCGCACCACCACGCCCAGTCTCAATCACCATTTCAGCGTGTCCCAAGTATGGGGCTGGCATGGCAAGCCTGGGGATCGAATCTCTGGTACCTGCACTTGCTTGCAGGCACTTTAATCTGCTGAGCTATTGGGCAAACTCTTTTTTTTTTTTTAGTATTTTAGAAGGTCATTCTCTAGATTCCAACATGATGGTCAAATTTCTTTAAGCATCACTTATTTTTTAGTATGGTAGGAGTTTTCAGGCGGCTATACCTGAAGATATCTTGAATTAAGATTTTAGGAAATAATCACACATGAATTTCACAATTTTTTCTGGTGTTTTAATGATTACTTTTGCTCTGTTCAGTCTTTTCAGTGCCTCTGAAGAGCAACTATCAGGACCTTACACAGTACTTACATATAAAAAACCTTCCTAACATCTTAAACTATTAGTAGTCAAGTTTCTTTCTTCATATAAACGTCTGTAATTTCTTTTTCAGTTAGGCCACATTACAAACTCATTACTCTCTCATTCCTAATGATCGTTTTTCAAATATTAAGTCACATTTAATGCATCATATAAGTTAGGCTCAAATGTCACCCTTATCACTTACTGGTTGACAATAGCTAACTTATTTAACTTCTGTGAGATAAGTTTTCTCATATGTAGTAATGTGGGCGAAAAACCACGTTACACTGAATTAGTGATCTAGGCAGACAGTGTAACATTACATCTGGTCAAAACAATGGTTTTCTAGGCACTACCATAATTCTTGCTGATGTTGTTACTTAATTATTTTTTCTCTGATCTGTCAAGTCTTCTGTGAAAGGAGAGAAGTAGCAAAGACAGCTATGGCATATGGGAAAGTGCGAGACACTTAGGATACAAATATGAATACATTACAGTCTCTTCCCTAAAGGGTTCACAGACTAGTGGGCAGATATAAAACATGATTAGATTCCAGTGAGACAAGTGACATAATAGATGGCATGCAGGCAATGGGAGCCCTAAGGAAGTGTGACTAAGTTTGTCTGAAAGAATTAGGGAAGTCTTTATCGATGAGTCTGTAAGTTGTAAACAGATCATGCAGGATCTTAAAAGTGATTCTAAGGAGTTTGGATGCTAGCCTGCAGTCAACACGAAGCATTTCAGATATTGTTAATCATGGCAATATGGGACCGTGTTTACTTATTCTCGTACCAGAAGGATGCACAGTGCATTGATGATGACAGAGGCGAGGAGCGGAAGGAGAAGATTAGAATGGTTCTGGCAAAGAATGATGAGAATGTGGTCCTGATTTTTTTTTACTCAAAGGAAAGCCGATCTTTTGTAGCAGGATTTAATGCAATTGGCCAGTATTTATTCAAGCTAGCACTTGAGCTATTCCAAATCGAATTCACTGCCAAATTCTGGCACTGGATTTAGGATGCTGTGGTACAGCTGACTGTTCTTGGGCTTTACTAGAAATGCTGATGAGAGTCCAGGGCATTGTACACCTGTGTGTTTGAGGGTTAACATGATGTCAAGGTGAGAATAGAATTTTGTTAAATATAAAGATGACCTATCAAAATGAAGTTGTGCTTCAGCACTTCATGAAAGGGGCTTATGTGTGTAACTCAGTGATAAATACGTGGAAAGCTTGGGGTTCAAAGTCCATCTTCAAAAATTAAATTTTCAAACTTAAATTTGAACACAATTTATATGTTTATGGCTACAAATATGTATCAAAATGGCAAACATACAATCATAAAAAAATTTGT